CTGAAAAACATCCCAACCCATACACAATTGGGTGGATCAAGGAAGGAGGCGACGTACGGGTGGAGGAATGTTGCAAGGTACCTTTTTCTATTGGTAAGTACCATGATGAAGTATATTGTGATATTGTAGATATGGATGCTTGCCATATTTTTTTAGGGAGGCCTTGGCAATTTGATACAGAGGCAAGGCACATGGGTAGGAAGAATACCTACCAACTTGAAAAAGAGGGTATACGTTATACTTTGATACCCATGGCTGGAAAGAATATTACAAAGGCCCCAAAAGCACATGAGAAAAATTTCCTTACCATTACCCGTCATCATGCTGAATTTGTAAAAGAATGTAAGGATACTCGTGAGGTACATTTGTTAGTAGTAAAGGGAGAAAATGTTGATGATGAAAATAAAATTCCAGTGGAAGTGCAGGGACTACTAGATGAATTCCATGATGTAGTTCCAGAGGAATAACCAAATGAATTCCCTCCCATGAGAGATATACAACACCATATTGATTTTGTTCCAGGTGCCAATCTACCTAACCTCCCACATTACAAGATGAGTCMTAAAGAGAATGAAATCTTATGGGAAAAGGTAGAAGAATTATTGAARAAGGGACACATTCAAATCAGTATGAGTCCTTGTGCAGTACTAGCTTTGCTAACACCTAAGAAGGATGGCAGTTGGAGAATGTGTGTCGACAGCAGGGCCATTAACAAAATTACTATTGGGTACAAATTCCCCATTCCTAGGCTGGATGACATGCTGGATCAGCTCAACAGAGCTATAGTTTTCTCAAAAATAGATCTCAGGAGTGGATATCATTAGATCAAGATCCGTCCCGGAGATGAATGGAAGACAGCCTTCAAGACTAGAGATGGCTTGTTCGAATGGTTAGTCATGCCCTTTGGACTAACCAATGCACCCAGCACATTCATGAGGCTAATGAACCAGGTACTGCGTCCCTTCACTGGTAAATTTGTGGTAGTATATTTTGATGATATCTTAATTTATAGCAAATCTATCACTAAGCACATGGGACATATTAGGGAGGTCCTCAAAGTATTAAGGGAAAATAAATTATATGCTAATTTAAAGAAATGCACTTTCATGAGAGATAATTTATTATTCTTGGGATTTATTGTGAGCAAGGATGGTATTAAAGTTGATGAAGAAAAAGTGAAAGCCATKAGGGAGTGGCCGACCCCATCAAATGCCACAGATGTGAGACGCTTCCATGGGTTGGCAACTTTCTACAGGCGATTTATTAAACATTTTAGCAGTATTGTGGCTCCCATCACTGAATGTTTGAAAAAGGGAAAATTTCAATGGGGAGAAGAACAAGAGCAAAGTTTAGCTCTCATAAAAGAAAAATTATGCACTGCTCTTGTCCTTGCTTTGCCAAATTTTGATAAATTATTCGAAGTTGAATGTGATGCCAGTGGAGTTGGCATAGGGGCTGTATTATCCTAAGAAAAGAGACCCATTGCTTTCTTCAGTGAAAAGTTATGTGAATCCAGGAGAAAGTGGTCCATYTATGACAAGGAATTTTATGCTGTGGTTAGAGCCTTGAAGACATGGGAATACTATTTAATTGCAAAAGAATTTGTTATTTACACTGACCACCAGGCCCTAAAGTATCTTAGTGGGCAAAAACAATTAAGGAGTGATTTACATGCTAGATGGTCTGCTTTCCTAGATAAATTCCCATATAAAATTGTGTATAAGGCAGGACAACAAAATAAAGTGGTCGATGCTCTTAACAGGCGTGTAGCCCTCATCAAGACCCTCAATATTGAGATTGTGGGTTTTGAGAGCTTAAAAGACCTATATGCCTAGGATGAGGACTTCCAACAGGTATGGAAAAAATGTGTGAATCGACAGCCAGCAGATGGCTTCTATATTTATGATGGGTTCCTTATGAAAGGGGAACAA